GCAGTAGTTGCAGCAGCAGCAGAGCGGGCAGGGCAGGCGCGGCAGGCAGGCAGGCAGGCAGGTGTGGCAGGCAGGCAGGCAGGCAGGCAGGCAGGCAGGCAGGCAGGTGGCGCAGCAGTGCGCGAACAAGGCAGGTGCTCACCAGTGGCGAGAAGGGCAGGCGCACGACGGCGGCGACGGCGGGGCCGCGACAGCTGCGGCAGAGCAGGGCCGCGTCGGCGGTAGGGCAGGTCCGCGACAGCTGCTGCAGGGCGGGGACGTGACGGCTGCAGGGCGGGGCCGCGACCGCGGCAGGAGGCTCCGCGGCAGCTGCTGCAGGGCAGGGCCGCGACGGCGGCTGAAGGGTCCGCGGCAGCTGCTGCAGGGCAGGGCCGTGACGGCGGCAGAAGGCTCCGCGGCAGCTGCTGCAGGGCGGGGCCGCGACTGTGGCAGGGCGCTCCGCGGCAGCTGCTGCAGGAGCGACGGCGACAGTCAGGAAGGGGGGGGGGGGGGCGGCGTCCAGGGGGGGGGGGGCGTCGCGACGAACAGGGGCAGCCGCGGCGCGCGGGGCTGCAGCGCGCTACGCGAGCTGCGGGCGCGGCGCGCGATGCCGCCGCGGGCTGCGCGAGGACGGCAGCCGCCGCACGCAGGGCTGCAGCGCGACGCGCGGGCTGTGGACATGACGCGCGGGGCGGCGACCTGGCCTGACGCGTCAGCGACCTGGCGGGGCGGCGCTCTGGCCTGACGGGCCTGCAGGGGCGGCTCACGGGCCTGACGTGTCTGCAGGGGCGGCGCGCGGGCCTTACGGGCCTGCAGGGGCGGCGCTCTGGCCTAGGGCAGCAGTAGGCAGCGCGAGGGCTGCAGGACGGCGCGCACAGCGCAGCACGTCACAAGGCAAGGCAGGCAGGCAGGCAGACGCAGGACAACACGTGGGGTAGCGCGGTAACCGCAACGGTAGGTGGGCCCGAAAAAACGGTCCTACGGACCTAGTGCTCTGAAACCATGTCAGAATCTAGCAGCAGGAATGATTGGACTATGAAAGTATTGGGTACAAATATGAAACCCTAAAAGGGGCTGTACCCCATATTGGCTACCCCACTACAGCCTACACATATATAACATGCATATACTTTGACACGAGTTGCTCCTGCGTTAATGTCGCAAGAGTAATTTCGGCCATGGCGGGGGTTTCGGGCAAGCTCAGCGAGAGCCTCTGTCGTGGCCGTGCGTGCTTACGAGAGAGCACTTCGAGCGGCGGTGCTTGTTCGCTGAGAGACGTCTACCCCCCCCAAAAATTGAGATAATGGGGAAGCGAAGGTGTGGGCGCGGTCCGAGAGGAGATCGTAGGCTCTGAATACCAAGTGTTACGAGTGCAATTGAGTGAGCGAGCGAGAATTGCACTATCGAAGCAAACAATACAATTGAGCGAAAAGCATGAGCGAAGTTATATAGCGAAGCTAGCGTGGTAACGGTAATGCGGGAAATTGGGGTGCGCTACGGGCCTAGCGGCGAGGTTGGGAATTGTCGAGGCGGAGGTCCGGAGCGCGGGTTACCAACCGAACCGTGAGGTTGGGTCGCATCGTGAACAGTGGCGGGAGTCGTGGTCGAGGCGAATGTCGCGAGCGGGTAACGTTCACGGATGGGTGCCGATGGCGGGAACAGGCATGTACGCGGTAAGCAGGGACGCGAAGTAAGGAAAAGGGATTTTCCTTACAACCACACTCTTCCACTATACAGTTTAAAACATGACATGTGTTCAAACTGTTCCTGACTCGATTCAAAGTCCGGCATCTTTCCCCGAGATACTGTAAGGAATATTCGTCCAACCCGAAAAAACACGCAAGCACCGAAAGTGTTCAGGCCTCGTTCAAAGAATGGAAAACAGGTCATTTCAGCCACTGGTTCCATGCCGTGGATGGCTCTGGTGGAGATACCAAGGGTGACACGCAAGACGCTTGGCTGAAAGCTCCCCAGCCTGCCTCACCTGCTCCCTGCCCAATCCAACCTCGAGATTAGATTTCCCGCCACTTTTTGGGTTGCGTAGCAACCCCTTTACATTTGGTAGCACTTTTTTTCGGTCGACTCGAATGAACAGTGCAATTTTTGTCATTTTCCCAACGCCTGAAGCACTCGCTTTAACGTGTTGAGAACGATTGCTTCAAATGTGTGAAGATGACTGCACTGAAGGACAAGAGTCTCCAAAAAAAGTGAAACCAAATGAGACCAATTGTTCCATAATCGTCGATAAATACGGCGAATGGAAACAATTGGTAGCCTTGCCAGATTTTACATCAAACACAATTGACGAGACAACAAATTCGACATGGATGCAAATCACGGTATTTGCATCTATGGAACATAACGACAACACTCAACAACAGCAAATGTCATAAAGTAAATGATAAAATGCATCGGTGCTACGATAGCGATGGATCCGGTATGCTAAGGCGAGCAAACGCTGCCCCAACAACGATCCCCACCTCAATTGCAGACCCGACACACTTTAACATGACACTTTACAACAAACACGAACGAGCACACGCGACATCGTACTGATACAACGACGACAACGCATAACAATTACCATGAGTGTCTTGGGGAGAACGCTAAAATGCATCGATGATGCAACAAAGTTTGGTCTGGCACGCTAAGGCTTGCCCCTCCGGCGATCACAACCTGAGTTGCATACACGAGGCACTTCAGCACACGCCTTGAGACAGACACAAACGATACAAACAACACGACTGTACATACATATCTCACACATGCTCACACACACACATACACACTGACACACACGCACACACTGACACGCACGCAAACAAGCACAGATACATACAGATTGTCAACACACAACCATCATGACATTCAGCTATTAATAAATTATCATTAGATTATCACCCCCTATCCTCCCTACACCCCTCCCTCCCTCCCTCCCTCCCTCCCTCCCTCCCTCCCTCCCTCCCTCCCTCCCTCCCTCCCTCCCTCCCTCATCTCCCTCCCATTGCCTCCCTCATTTCCCTTCTCCGAAAGGATGCAGCTCACGCACCCTGCACATAGTAAAAACAGAGAATGCAACATACGCACTGCACAAGAAAGCAAAAAAAGAGGATGTTCACACATTGTGTACAAGAAAGCAGTAAACAGAGAATGCAACTCATGTGCGGAGGCCAAGCAGGAAACAACTCACCCGCACTGCATAAGAAAGCAAAAACAAAGAGTACACCTCACTGCATTGCAAAAGAAAACAAAAGCAAAGAATGCAGCTCACACACTAGAGACGAAATAAGCACACAAAAAAAGATGAGCAATGAATTTGACAGCTCACAGAGGAAATTTGGTATTAGTCGTGACACCAGCATGATGCCATACCTTGAAGCCACCCTCAAGTTCAACTTCACACTCACGTTCGCACTCACTCTTGTACTCAATCTCGCACCCACTCACACACGCACAAATACTCTCAACTTCTTAGACACACTCACAGAAGCACACATACAAACCTACACGTTCACTCTAAAACTTGCCCTCGCACTCATAATCGTTCTCATTCCCAATCATGCTAACACAAATACTTACACGCGCACGCAAGCACACTCACACACACCCTTGCACTCACACTCGCACTTGCTCTCGCATTCACCCTAAGACACACACTTGCATGCAGTCTCACTCTCAGCCTTGCACTCACACGCACACCCACTCATCCTCGCACTCACCCTTGAACTACCCTCACACTCGAGCTCACACTCACCCCAAACCCTACACCATCATATTTACACTCACATTCACTCTCTCACTTGCTCTAACTCTTGCTCTCGTTCTCACCCTCGCAGTCACCTAAACACGCACCCTCGTACTTCCTCTAATATTCACCCGCATACACGCACTTGCACGCACCCTCGCACTTACACTCACACTCACACTCGCACTCACACCCGCTTTCGCACCCGGACTAAAAACCGCCCTCTCACCCTCACACACTATCGTACTCACTCTCGCAACCGCTCACGGACGCACAATTACTTTCAACCGTTCTTAGACACACTCTCAGAAACACAAACACACACCCTTGCACTCACCCTCGAACTCGCGCACTCACTCGAACACTTTCGCACTAACACGCGCACACAGTCGCCGGCACGGTGGCACCCTTGAACTCAAATCACGCCCACACCCACACCCACACTCACGCTCACGCTCACACTCGCACTCACTCTTCTACTTGCCCTCACACACCGTCACACACCCTCGCACTCACACCCGCGCTCACGCTTGCACTCAACATCGCAGCCATCATCAAACTCACCATCGCACTCACTCTTGCACTCACTCTTCACTCAAACACATGTAATGTACTCTCAACTCTTCTTCGACAATCACAGAAACACACACACAAACTCTTGCACTCATCCTCGTAATCACCCTAGCACACACTCAAACGGACCCTCGCACTCCCCCTTGCACTCACACACACACTCACACTCGTACTCACCCTCAAACTCGCCCTGGCACTCACTCTCACACTTGCTTTCGCACTCACACTCGCGCTTACGCTCGAACCTGCTCTCTCGTTCGCACTCGCACTTGCCCTTGCCTTCACAACCGCACTCACGTCGCCCGTGCCCAAGGCGCCAGCACCCTAAGTGCAAGCGCCCACGGCGCCCCACTGCACCAGCGCCTTAGGCTCCAGCGCCCCCGGCGCAATCGCCCACAGCGCCAGCGCCTCATGGGGCAGCACCCACGGCGCTCGCGCCCTAAGCGCAAGCACCTTATGCGCCAGCGCCCATGGCGCAAGCGCCAATGGCGCCCGCGCCGACGGCGCAAGCGCGCACGGCGCTCTCTCTCTCTCTCGCGCCTCTCCCTCCCACTCTCCCTCCTGCACGCTCTGCCACTCTATCTCCCTCTAGTGCTTCCTTCGCTCTCACGCGCGCACTCTCCTGCACTCTCGCTCCCTCGCGCTCCCTCTTCCCCCTCTTCAAATGGTAGTGCAACGCAAGAGACCAATCAACACACAGAAACTACAAATAAGATAAGGAAAAATCGGAAATATAGGAACTTCCAGTAGGGGGAAGGGAGGGAAAAAGGACCGGGAAGGGTAAACGCACCTGCAATTCACGGTGCAGAGACCAACCCGCGCTCGCGCACCAGCTCCCACTCGCGCACCAGCTTGCTCGTGACCTGTCGCCGAAGGCGGCGGCGGAATGGGAGGGTGAGGCGACGGCGGAATGGGAGGGAGAGGCGACGGCGGGATGGGGGGAGAGGCGACGGTGGGATGGGAGGGAGCGGCGACGGCGGATAGGAGGGAGCGGCGACGGCGGATAGGAGGGAGAGGCGACGATGGGGAGGAGGGAGAGGCGACGGCGGGGAGGAGGGAGAGGCGACGGCGGGAGGAACGGGGAGGCGACGGCGGGAGGGGAGGGGGAGGCGACGGTCGGGTGGGAAGGAGCGGCGACGGCGGGAGGAGGGAGCGGCGACGGCGGGAGGGAGGGAGCGGCGACGGCGGATGGGAGGGAGAAGCGACAGCGGGTGGGAGGGAGAGGGGGTTGCGCGGTGGGAAAGAGAGTGGCCGGCGGGGTGGGGGGGAGCTGGGTGGGTGGGAGGGAGAGGCAATGATGAGCTGGGTGGGTGGGAGAGAGAGAGGCAACAGGTGGGTGGGGGTCCGCGGAGGAGAGGCAATGACGAGGTGGGTTTGTTGGGTTGGTTTGGGAAAGGGAGGTGGGGCAGTAACTACAGTAACCAAATTGAAGGAACTGGGAAATTAGAGGAGTTTTGTACACCTGCATGAAACAGGTCGATCTGAAAACTTGAGCAAAACTTCGGCACTTGGAAACAAAAACAGACTAGTATCCACGTGAAATCACAAGCTCTATCACGTGGCACATCCAGCTAGCTGAAACATTTGAGTGAGCTAGAAACAACTCACTATGAACCACACTTTTGCTAGCAAGAACCTCATAGTGCAATCTATATGCCTAAATCTTCACCTATTTTTAAACTATAGAACATAAAATCCACGTTAATAGTATTAAGTTGCATCATTATGAACTAACGAGCTTGCCATGTTCATTAAATACGGGAAAAGTTGAACTTGGCGCTCTATACCCACAATTTCATACCGTATATCTTTTTTTTTTGTCAACTAAGGATGTAACAGCTACGCAACCCTTCCGACGTTAACGTCGAGTCTTGTTCTTCCATCCATCCCTGCCTTCTTGGGCTCTCTGGCTTGCTTGGCTCCTTCTAACCTGCTGCTGCTCCGTCGCGACTTTCAACTTCGGCCATTCATTTCAAGCTTCATCGAAGTGTTTGAATGGTTTTCTTCAGCATTTACAGTATAAAGGAAATTAGTCGATTCCGTACGGTTAGCAGGCTGGAAATTCTTATCAGTATCTCGAAGGCGCTTACTCTTCTGATTGTTGTGATCGCGATGGTTGCGGAGCGATTGCTCAAAGCCATACCTTGGGGAGTCCGCCCAGATTTGCAAGTGGAAGAGAGATTGGTGCCGCCAGGCTCCGCGGCAGACTTGACCAATGGTGAAGCGTTATCGTCGCCGGAACAAATGGATGCGGGATGCGACGATTTTTCCAAGCAATGGTCGCGAAGCAAGCGACGAATAGCGTTGTTCGTGGAACCTTCGCCGTTCGCGTAAGGGTTGCGACGCGATCTGTCAAGTGTTATGGTTTCTTAGCCCCTTGGCTTCAGTGGATGGCAAGCTTTGTCGTTTTACTCACGGCTCCCAGTTTGCTGGTGGTGCAGATACGTATGTGGTTACAAGACGCGGTTCCAAAATTTCATTCGCCACTTACGGGATATGGGGGACGAGGTAAATGCAAAAGAAAATGATTCTTGTTTTTCCCCTCTCCCCTCCCCCCGTCCCCCTTGCGCCAGCCACCCTTCCCCCTATCTCCCACTTGTTCCCCCTTCGCTGAAGTTTCCGCCGTCATGCTAATGGAGTATTAGTGGGCCTGTCTGTGCAGGTGCTTGTGGTGACCACTCACAAAGGAGCTCCTAAAGAATTTCTGGGAGCAAAAGTAATACCTTCTCTAAGGTACCATTCAGTGCATCTTACTCTGCTGATGGAATCGATACGGTCCAGCCACCGTCTTCACGTGTCCTCTATCAAGTAGATTTTGAAGCTGTTTTTTTGTTAATTTCCGTTCATTCCTGTGTTGTTTCCAGTTTCCCCTGCCCGTGGTACACGAATGTCCCTCTCGCGCTGGGATTCAGCCCGCGAATTGTTTCTGAAGTGGCCAAGTTTAAGCCAGACATCATCCACTCCACCTCTCCAGGAATTATGGTGGGTTATTGAGCCTCATAAATGAGAGTGCTGTCTTTAAATGTTGAAAGTAGGTTTGCAGGATTGAAGGTAAATCAACTTTCAAGCCTGACATTATCCTCTCCACCTCTCCAGGAATCATGGTGAGTTTTTTTTAGCCTCAGGAAAGAGAGTGCTATTCTTGAATGGCAAAGGTAGGTTTGCAGGATTCTAGGTGAAGAAAGTTACAAGCCTGACGCTGTGCGAAATTGTGAAGCCACAGTTTACAACCATTGTGCATGATTCCATCGAATTGGATCCATACCAACAGCACCAGCACAAATGAATGTGCAGTAATCCATTCTTCATACCACCACACCCCATTTCCTCGACTGGCAGTGCTTTGGAGCCATGGCAACAGCGAAGATGACACACACGCCCTTCATGCTCTCGTATCACACTCACGTTCCAGCGTAATGCCCTTTTACCTGCACCCCCGCTTCAAAGATAGACTTAGACTTCTGTGAAACCCTTCGTGCTCTCGTATCACACTCACGTTCCAGTGTAATGCCCTGCTACCCTGCACGTTTGCTCATTCATGGACTTTTGTAACACACACGCCCTTCATGCTCTCGTATCACACACACGTCCCAGCGTGATATCCTCCTACCTACCCTGCACCTTAGCTCAATTATAAACTTATGTAACAGACACGCCCTTCATGCTCTTGTATTAAACACACATTTCAGCATAACGCCCTCCCACCTGCGATTCCGCTCATCTGCTCTCGTGTCACACACTCCCTCTTACCATTCCCTTCTCCCTCAAACACGTCTCAAAGCTATGCAACACTGCTGGTTGCTGTTCTGTTCACAGGTACATACCGAAGTACACCTTTCAAGGACTTGTGGAGCCGATGTGGAAAGTTATCCGTAAGTTGTATCAATCAGCTTTCCCAGAAGTCGTCTTCACCTTGCGTGTGCTCTTGCACACCACGCTTTCCTGTCCTTCCCTGCTAGACTGTAGGTCTGGATCAAGGTGCAAAATTTCGGCAAACGTAAAATACGGTCCGTTTTTTACGCTCGTATTTTACGGTCAGATTTAAAAAATTCGGCCGTTTTTTTGTTAGAGATTTTGTGACTTTTTTTTTTTTTTTTTTGAAGACAGTACACACGACTCTGCTCCTGAGCAGGATAGCAAAGAAGCAATACAATGCTTACAAAGTGTCTAGGTTGCGCTCGTTCAACCCTCCTCCTCCTCCCCCCAGACTCTTCATCCTCTCCTCCCTGGAGTCACCGTTCTACTACAGTCCCACTGATAAATCCCCTTTGTCTTCCTCATGGCTGGTTCATCCGTTCGAGGGTTCATGGTTGGAACCAATACTTGAAAATATGTGTAAACCAGCTGGTTACAAGATTTCTGGTGTAAAAAACGGCCGTTTTTTTTCACCACATTAAAATTACCACTTTTTGGCGTTTTAAAACGTTTTAAACGGCCGAAAAATACGATAGCGTATTATACGCCAGAATTTCAATCTTTCGGTCGTTTTTTTGCACCTTGGTCTGGATTAACCTTTCGCATGTTGTTCTTGTTGCTGTCATTATTTATGTTTTTGTTCGTTCGCCTCGTTTTGTTTCCTTCAATATACCCTTTTCCAGGCTACTTGCATCGAGGGGCGGACCACGCCATCACGACATCGCATGAGCTGGCGAAGGAGCTTACAGCGCACAACGCCACAGCAGGTAGGTGTTTATGCTCTCTGCCTAGCCCTGGGAAGTCCTGTCCGTACAGGTAATTGGCTTCTTGCATCGAGTGGCGGACAACGCCAACACGACATCCCATGGCATGGCGAAGGAGCTTGCAGGCCTCAGCAGGTACGCGCTGCTGCCTCTGTCTTTTATTCATTTCGCTGCTTCCAGGCTTCTTGTATCGAGGGGCGGACCATTCAATCCCAAGGTGCCATCTGCCATCTCATTCCCGCTGTCTCCCCTTGCTCCTGCCTTCCATATGCAGGTGGCAGCAGGCAGATGGGCGTGTGGCCCAAAGCAGTGGATTCGCAAAAGTTCAACCCACGGTTTCGAGACCAGGAGACACGGAAGTTACTCAGGTGAAACAAGGGTTAGGTGGGTCAATCTATTCTCAAGGCAGGCAAGTGGGCGTGTGGCTTAAGCTTGCGTGGATTTTCACAAGTTCAGCCCGCGGTATCGAGACCAGGAGACCTGGAAACTGCTCAGGTGCGTTAGATGTGGTGACAGGGGCAGGCAGGCACAGGGGTTATGTGGGTCAGTCTCGCCTTGAGGAAGGCATAAAGGCGTGTGGTTCAAGGCCATGTATATTCACGCAAGCCCAGGAGACACGCGAGGTTCCCTGCTTCGCAAGGTGTACAGTAAGTGTTTTACCTGAGGCCATGAGCCAGAGTAGAGTAAGAGCTAAGAAGAATGGGGCTTTTGGACTCGTCTGAAGAGGTGGAGGTGTGTGTGAGGCCTAACTGTGTCAGAAGTACTCATGTCACTGAATTTTCTTGTTCCTAAAGTCCTTACTTCAAGATCCCCCCCCCTCCCTCCTGACACCACCCGTCTGCTATCCCTTGTTCGTCCCCCTTCCACCTGAAGTTTTGTTTTTGTGCATCTACATTTCCATCACGCTCTGTTTCTGTATCTTGGTCCAACAGTGGAAGAGAAGAGGTTGGCAAGCCTATTATTGTGATTCGATACGTCCCTTAATAATCTTAAGCCGTATCTGCTTCCTTCTTTGCTCCCGTCGTGCACTTCCTCTTGATGTGAACAAGCCTCTCATTGTGCATGTGAGGCGTGTCTAAATCATGCATGTCGTGCCCCTATCTCTCTGCTTCTTTCTCGTGCTCTTCTGCGTGTGTAACAGCGGGGGGGAAGTGGACAAGCCTCTCATTGTGCATGTGGGGCGGCTGGGCGCTGAGAAGAACCTTCATCTGCTCAAACCGTGAGTAGCTCTATCAAGCCATGAGTAAATTAATATAAAACGTGATAAAAAAACATGAGTAGATTAATCAAAACGTGACTAGCCTAATCAAGCCTTGAGTAGCTTAAATTCAACCCTGAGTTTTTCTATTGAACCATGAGTGGATTGCCCAATTCGAGTTTTCTTTTAGGTGCCTCAAAAGCCGAGTCGACTCGAAGGTCGTCTCCTAGCATAAACCGCCTCTCCTCTCCCCATCCCTGCCACTTCCCGCCACACTTTGTCACTCGTCCTCTTTTCCATCCGTGCAGCATGCTGGACAGGCTTCCAGGGGCACGCCTGGCTTTCATCGGGGATGGACCACACAGGTATGTGAATGCGTGAGAGTGAAACCTCCCAAGGTTCGAGACCTCCCCCTGTCTCGCCCACCAGCATGCTGGACATGATTCCAGGGGCTCGCCTGGCTTTCATCGAATCATCGGGGATGGACCACACATGTATGTGAATGCGTGAGTGCATGTCTCGCTTTCATCGCTTGAGTGCTTCTGACGCACGCTCAAACGTGCACCTGCAGACTGCAGGACACCAATATACTCCTAGCTACATCTTACCTGGATTCCATACTGCTCTGTAATCGCACAGGTTCTCCCGTCCTCCCCTCTCCTCCCCACACCAACCGCCCTCTTTCTCCCGTGTGGTCGTTCCCCTGTTCTCTTGCATGGGGAGCGACGATGGGTTTTCCGTGTGCTCCGCAACCCACATTTCGTTCCTGTGAATTCGTGAAGCAGAGCGTTATCAGGGTTTAGGATGCTCGCTCACCCCTACTTGCTGTGCGTGCGCCCTTCCCCTGCCCTGTTGCCTGTAGCAACAGAATATTCCAGCTTGCGTCCTTCTCCTCCCCCCCTGCTGCTGTTTGCTGGAACCCACAGTCTTTGCCAGCATGATGCAGATTGCTACGAGGCCAAGATACCTACCTAACTTGCTGCACCCCTTGCTCTCCCCATCACTTCCCTGCTGCTGCTGGTTTCGCAGAGGAAAGCTGGATTGGAGATTCTCTTTGTTGGAATTGGAATACCCACAGGCTTCGCCGGCGTGAAGCAAGAGGCTGATATTTCCTCCTCCTCTCCTCTCTCTGCTGTTTCCCTTTCCACAGGGGCGAGCTGGAGAAACTGTTTGCTGGAACACCCACAGTCTTTGCCGGCATGAAGCAAGGAGCCGACCTTTCCCGCGCATTCGCATCAGGAGACATTTTCATCACCCCTTCGGAAACAGAAACGCTGGGGAACGTGGTTCTAGAAGCGATGGCGTCAGGCGTCCCTGTGGTCGCCGCCCGGGCAGGTGGAATCCCAGATATTGTCAACAGAGAGGGGCAGAACGGGTTCCTGTTCACGCCGGGGGACGTGGACGACGCGGTCGGCAAGCTTCGGCAGCTAGTGGCGTCGAGGAAAACGCGGGAGGAGATAGCAGAGGCGGGGTTGCGGGATGCGGAGGCGTGTGATTGGAGGGCGAGCACGTTGACCGTGAGGAATGAGCACTATGGGAGGGCGGTTTACTCGTTTATCCGCAAGGGGCGGGTGAATCTGCGGAGCAGGAAGCCTATGGCTGTGGCTGCTCCTGCCTCGGTCTTCCCTCCCGGGCCGCGTGACCTGCAGTGACTTGCAATCACTGGCAATGAACACAATGACTTGCAATAAGGGTTACGGGTGGCTTCCTCCCAACTCTGGTACCTGTTGTTGGGGCACCTCCAAGCATTTCTGCTACACCAGACATCTCCACTCATCCTCTCTGCTGTGCCTCGGTTCAGAGAATACGGACGATCGGATGAGCTGCAACAAAAAGTGTTAAAACCAGCATCCGCGGTGGTGCCTGTCCGCTCTTGCTGCCTGCCTCAGCTTTGGTTCTCCTTTTTTCGGAAAGGATATATTCCAACATTTTCCAGTTAACTTTTCTTGTGCCTGTATTCTCGGTTTTGTTCCGATCAGAGCTGAGAGCTCATACGGTACTTTACATGTGCTGGGTATAGTTTGATTTTGGTGGGTTTCATTCAAGCTTCTATAGTACAGTATCAATATGGGATGGGTATACTCCGTACATTTATCTGTAGTCGGGTAGTTTCAGCTGTCGATATGGGTTAGACATGTGATCCTGAATTCGATAGGCAGCTGTCATCACAGTTCTCCAGATCAGTTGATCATCATTCTCTGTCACATGAGTCACATGTGGTACCTGGAGGGGTAATGACCGCATGGGAATGTACGGTATGTTTGTAGGAAGTTTTGCTGAACCAGAGCAGAGTAATGTACAACATAGACAAATGACTGTGTTGCTTGCTACACAGCAGCGCAGCAGACAGTACAGTGCTAGCTAGCTTCTCAAACAATCACCTACGCTTCCTGATTAGTCAAGTCATGTATCGGTACAAGCACGGTGTCCCGCGTCGCCTCACGTCCCTGGTGTTCCATTTGCCGTGAATGTTGGCTTCCGAAACGCTGTGCGGCGTGAATATATCGAATTGGCCGTCCCATACTTTTTTGCCTACTGGGGAATCCCAGAATGAACAAATTGTATGGAGCAGGAAAGAAACACTCGCACATTCTGATGACACTGTGTTGAAGGTAAATAAATTTCGTAGGTGCTCCCTTACACCCCTCTAGTCATGATCGCTGCGGGGCAATCAGCCCCCTGCGCTCCGTAACAGCCAATGATTGGGCTGAAATTTTCGCGCTTCGATTTCTATAGCTATCAAAATCGAGCCGCGATAAGTTGGCTGTCCCTCCCCGCAGCGACTCCTACCAGATTGTCCCTCGCTAAAGCACTCGCGCGCGCCTTACGCCTTATCCCACTAAAAGTTTCCCAACAGAAACTCACATAAATATGCGTTTCGAAGTACCATAAGTTATCAGTTGAACTACCATCAGCCATCAGTTGTGCTTACATCTCAGCTCCACCATTTCATCGTTTCAGTGCTACCGAGGCGGCCTCATCCAGCCACGACATTTCCTACCTCACCCCTAAATCCTGCGAGTAGTCTACCGCACTCTTCTTTGTGAGCTCTTTCTCTTCGCGAAGATGGAAATCGCTTGGATTAAACGCGCTGCAATCTGGACTTTCGCTGGACTGGGCCTCGCGCTGGCCGTCATCTCCTGCTGCGAGATGGCCGACAACTATTTCGTTCTTACCCACCCCGACGCCTGCATCGCTTCATCCAACGGAACCCACTGCGCGGCAGAATTCCGCGTGGCGCGGCGATCCCTAGGCGTCGTGCCGCAGACGCCGGAGCAAGTCACCTCAGCCATGATTGCAGCTGTGAAAGCGCAAGTCGCGGCGCTAATCGAGGCAACCAAAGAGATTAAGTCAAGCAACGTGCGGGAAGACCATTTCGCAAATGGCATGGCGAGGAGTTGCGCGCGCCAAGCCACCATCGCACTGCGCTACCTGGGGCAGGCGGGGGATGCGGTGGAGGCGGGCACGAATCAGCTCGACGTGCCGTACTGGCTGGCGGCCGCCGACACGCAGATCGACAACTGCGTCGATGGCTTCCAGACTTTCTTGCCCGCCGCGCAAGGCTTCCCCGCCTACGTACACCTCGAGGTTCGTTACCATCGTTATTAAAATAAAAAGCATTCGGCTGCATTTCTCGCACGTGCGGTGCAAGAGCAGCAAGAGCAGCAAGAAGAAGGCGTCACCGAACCAGGGTCCGATGGTCGTCAGCGCGTCTCTCGCCGCCACCGCGACCGTCGGATCCGGATACAAGTCGATCCAAGACGCCGTTGACGCCGCTCCCGGCGGCACGCGGTTCGTGATTTACATTCCCGCGGGAACGTACAAGGAGCAGGTTGTCATCGCGACGACGGACATCGTTCTGATTGGTGCGGGTGCGGGTAAGACGATTATCACGGGCGACGCGAGTTACGGCAGCGGATCCGGAACCTTCGAGTCGGCCACGGTTGGGGTGGATAGCGACAGGTAATGCCGCCCTTTCCCCTTTCTGTCCTTACCTCCCTCCCCTTTTCTGCCCGTTTCTCTCTTCCCCCTTTCCGTCATTCGTTTCTAATCTCATGCACAGCTTTCCAGTATTCTCTTCCTGCCCTCACGCGGCATAGCTTCCCTCTATTATCTTCCCGCGTCGCCTCATCATTTTCCCACCCACCTGGTAACCACACAACAGGTTCGTCGCCTTCGGTATCAAGTTCGTCAACACGGCAGGCCCCCAGAATCACCAAGCAGTTGCGTTTCGCGCCACGGGCGACCAGACAGCTCTTTTCAACTGCGCGTTCGACGGATCGCAAGATACATTGTATGTGGACGCGGGTCGTCAGTACTACAAAAACTGCTACATTGGCGGCTCGCAGGATTTCATTTTCGGCGACGCGGCCGTGGTTATCGACGCGCCGAAGATTCAGCTTCACCCGAGCCCCTCTTTCGGGACCCTAACGGCGTCGGGACGGGCCAAGGATACCCCGACGGGGATTGTGATTCGCGACGCTGTTGTTTCGGCGGACAAAGGCACGACCAAGGTGTATCTGGGCCGTCCGTGGAAGAAATGCGCCTTCACGGTTTTCATCAACGCCTTTCTCCCCGCGGTGATTGAGAAGGACGGGTGGCTGTCGTGGAACGAGGGCAGCTGCATGTTTCTGGCGGAGGCGGGCAGCAAGGGGCCGGGCGCCACGGACTGGGTGGACCCCGGGATCATCACGAGCGTCAGCGGATACGACGCCAACACCTTCACGCAGGTCAACACCTGGCTCCGCTTGTCGCGCTAGTGTTGATGTTTGCATACCTAATTGCCAGCGCCACTAGGAGTAGCAGCAGCAGCAGCAGCAGGATATTCAGTAGCAGGTCACGAGCACACCAGTAGGCTCTGGCATTGAAGCGCCAAACCCGCTTAGGAAATTGAGTTTTGTAAGCTTGTGCAATCTGGGGAAGGATCATAGAGTAGGCTAGTGTTTGACTTCTGTTGATATAATCATCTGGCCGATTATAATATTTGTTGAATGCTTTTGACAAAGCTTATTCGCATGCTTCTGAAGAGTTTGTCTGCATCTGGAATAATCTATACGGTAACCAAGAGCAGCAAGCAAACAGCTGAACGACTCAAGAATCCTGGTGGATTGTTTGTGCACACAGGTTTGGCACATCAGCATCAATAGTCTAGAAAAATAATTAGCAGAAAACAATCATAACAGCTCTATCCATTGTTCCACCTACTCTCCACCCACCCCTCTCGAAGGTGAGCTTACTTTCTGCCTGGCCCCCTTCCCCTTTCTCTAATCCACCTATGCACTCCTCTCCTTTCCTCTCTGGTACTGTGCCCTTCCCTTACCTTATCCCTCTGCTCTTTCTATGCTCCTCCGGTCACCTTTGGTGACCCTCTTTCATGGGTTACGTTGAGATCACCTTTTTCCTCATCAGTACCCTCGGGATCAGCTGTCTCTGCAAACACCATATCCGCTCCTTTCTCCCTAGCACTCTGCCCTTACCTTATCCGTCCGCTCTTTCTATGCTCCTCCGGGAACCACCTTTGCCGGCCCTCCTCCCTGGGTGACTTTCGGATCACCCGTTTCCTCATCACCCTCGAATTCACTTGCCTCTGAAAATACCATACGGCCGGACGGAGTGAACTTCGAAACCTCCTTTCCAGAGGGTATACGCGTCATAGTACGATCCGTGAATGCGAACCCCAGCGCGGGGACCCATCGAATCCGCACGTCGTCCGCGTCCCCTGCGTCCCCTTCACCTCCCGTCGCAGCTGCATCCCCCCCTCCCCCTTCCGCGCCTGGTGCGCCCTTCCCCGTGGGCCTCCCCTTCCCCGTCGGCACAACTCCCCGCTTCGTCCGCAGCTGGCGCCACTTGAGAATGACAACGATCAGAACCACCAGGAACAGAGCGGCCAACGAACCCACCACTCCTGCGACTAGATAGCCGGAGATGGGAGGACTTGGGGTGGGTTCAGGGTTAGTTTCAGGGGCGGGGATCGGTAAAGGGGCAGGAGGTGGGATTGGACCCGGAGGAGGCATGGGAACCGGGCTCGGAGGAGGCTTGACCGGGCTCGGAGGAGGCTTGACCGGGCTCGGAGGAGGCTCGGAGCCAGGAGCAGGCGGAGCAGGTTCGGAACCCGGAGAAGGCGGAGGAGGTGAAGGAGACTTGGTCTTCGGAGGAGACTTGGTCTTCGGAGGAGACTTGGTCTTCGGAGGAGACTTGGTCTTCGGAGGAGACTTGGTCTTCGGAGGAGACTTGGTCTTCGGAGGAGACTTGGTCTTCGGAGGAGACTTGGTATTCGGAGGAGACTTGGTATTCGGAGGAGACTTGGTATTAGGAGGAGGCGAAGGGAACTTGGGACCCGAATCAGGCTCGCGCACAGCGGTGCCGTTATTTGTTGGCGTCTCGTGCGGCGCCCTCCCCGTGACCCTGCCTTGCGATGTCCAGACAGTGTCGTTTGCCATGATGATGTCGCTCAGCGCAATTTACGGAACGATATTGGAGCGGTTCGACTTAGTAGTAGAAACGCGACTAGTGAGGAGTTAAATTCTGCTCTACAGCGAATACTCCGTACAGTGATGGTAGAATTTGAAAAAGAACGGATATAAGGCTTCGCCTGCTAATGCATCTGGTGATGCGGCCCGCGCTCCTAATTTGCACCCTCGGTCGGATCGCGGTCTCTGCAGCCTCGGGAATGTCTCAGTTTGCACTGACGTCTGAAACGGGAACGACGAAGCTTAAACAAGCACGCCGAGGGTTCCGTTGCTAGTGGCTGTTCTGCTTAATAGGAGGCCTTCCTTAATGCGCTTCCTTGCGGGAAACCTAGCTTGTCCGTTTTTTTGCTACAGCGAAGATAATACATCCCATCGAACGAAGACAGAATGCGAGTCACGAGTCAAGCGAAAGCGAAAGCAGGCTTTTAACATCCTCTTAATGTGACTGACCAACCTGAAGACCAATAATTTAAGAAAACGGACTGGTAGAGTCGCGCGATCCTTCCTAGGGCCTAAGTTTGTATCTGCGATTTCTAGTAAACGTAAGTTTCAACGGCAGGGCCTTGTGTGTCAGCTTTGTGGAGTCCTCGGGATTTCTGCGCCAGCGTCCTCTGCTGGCTAGCTTTCCGAGTCCTTTTGGGAGCCTCTTGGGCCTTCTGTGTGTCGCTGGGGAATTGGGAATTCCGCGAGTTACGTCGTTTTGAGTGGATGAAGTGGATGAATCGGAATTTGGGAATCCTTGCGGGGAAAGGCTGGCGCGGGCGGGACGACGGGCGGATAGGGAATGCGGGAATGCCCGCGTGAGAAATGGAAAACGGGGAACGCGTTCCGAAAATAGTTTAGCCAATCAGCGTGTCAGGATGACGCGGAAAGGAAGCGGCGGAATTGCGGAGATAGAACGATGAGCGGGAGGCTGGGGGAACAGCGGGTGGAACCGGGGAGGTGGGAATGGAAACGCGTTGAAGCAGACGAACGAACCCGATAAAGGCGAGGCCGTGGAGTGTGCGGCAATGTAATTATTGGTGGCTCAGCGCGGTCCGAGAGCTGCGAGGTGTAACACTTCCAGTTCCTCTTGTTTGATGCATATTCAATAGCTCATTGAAAAGCCAACAGTTCTTCAAGGGTTTCATTAAAATACAAATATCAAATAGATTTAGAAGATTACTTTATTCTAAATTTCCATAGAATGTACCAGATATGATTGCATAATATCCATATCGTTTAGTTTCGTTAATATTTCATGGCTATCAAAAGTGTTGAACATTCGCTTTGTGTAGTTGCGGTAGTTGTGGGCATAGTTTGAATCATCAGTTCCACTCAATGTAGGGGATGGTCTCAACCGTCGAAATGGTTCCCTATTGGAAAGATTTGTGAGAGAATGTTCCGCCGTCGTGCGCGCACACCAAGTCCTGAAGGGCCTAGAATCTAGATTGTATCCTGCCCCATCACCCCCATCAAACAGCAGCCCAAAGAACAGCCCGAGAAGGTCGTGTGACAAGCCCCTGGTGTGTGCGTACCTTCTCGGTTTGATTATGACCAGCCTTCAACATTTTACCCATGTGGCTATGCTGGTTCCATAAGTGTTTCTGCTGGGAGTCGAAATTTGGGAAGAAATTACTTGTCGGTAAAACAAGCGTTTCCACACAAGAGTGGCAGAAAATTCAGAGGTGTGGCGTGTCTGTTGGGATATAGACAAGTGGCCCTCTGCTGCGGTGGTTCCACTCCACACCACAACCATTCCCCATCGAAGCTTCTCCTAAACCTGTGTCGCGCTAGGCAACCGGCGCAATTCTTCACACGACGTATGTACACTGTATATGCAACCGATTTAAATTTAATTCCCTCAATATATTCGAGTTTGCGACCACAGGGCTCTTAGCCGGAGCAATTTAGAGTTTTGGTTGTTGCAGTGGTCACGACGTGCCTGATTTTTGTCAGCTGGTTTGGGTACTGTACCGCCATGCGACATTTTGGCGAACCCCTTGGTGACAAACTAGATCCTCACTCCACGAGGGAGGATTCTGTACACTTTGCATGCGGGTTCAACAACAGAGGGCTTCGGGGATATTGAATGGTTGGAGTAGGTATGGTGGTGAACTGTGTAGGTGATGGCGGATGGATCCTTTCCAAATGTGTACACGTGTTTTCCTCAACTTTGCTGGAATGACATGTGTGATGTGAAGATGTGGAGGACCTTGTCACGTTGGTCTGTGTGCTGCTGCGAACACCACCCTTTTCGTCCACTCTCTCGATTTGTCTGATTTCAGGGGCTACTGTGCAGGTTGGTTTCAAAACACACCACCAGCTCCGCGCCTCAATGCCCCCTTGGAGTCTTCCGAGGATCCTCTTCCGCGTCCAGGTGAGCTGGCGTCTGTCAGCCACGGCTTTTGGTTGGTTGGGAGTTCACTTGCCTACAAAATCAACTTTCGTCCGTTCCGTCCCGTCCCGTCCCCGTCAAGTTCTTTTCAACCCCAGTGTCGACTATGTAAGTTTCAGTCTGGTGCGCAATGGTCCAATACGGTGAAAATCAAAAGCCGTTCCCAAACGTGTCTTAACGTATTGAACCGCGTCAAAGGAACCCTGAACAAAAAAGTTTGACCCAGCCAGCGACGGTGTTCTGTCAGTCATAGACCAACTTTTCCCAATGGCTTTCTGTTCCAATCGTGTCATACGTGTGTACGAACTCCATAATTCAAAATTGTCATGGATCCTCCGACTCTACCTTCTCCGCCTTTACCTTCCTCTTCACCTGCAGCTACTTGCTTGACTTACGTTAGCAACGCAGTTAGGTTCTTCACATCTGAGGTTGAGTTGAGTACGTAAGTTGCACTCGCAGCACTACGGCTAAGAGGGGTTATGTTACTATAAGGATGGAAATGAGATACTACTGTGATGCTGGTCACCTGCCGTGCTCCAGTGCTAGTCAGAGAGGTTCTTACGGCCGCGTACTGACCTTAATCTTAACCTCCCATAGCTGATATCAGCTCTTCTACATGTATCAAGCGTCTGACGAAGTAGCAGTTCGTGCGTCGTTCCTTATCATTCACGTCCCATACGTATATGGACAAGTACGTCAAGATCAAGCTCATAGGCGAGGGCTCGCACGGGAAAGTGTATCTGGTTAAAGAGAAATCCGACGGCGACGGATCCTCGAAGCACCAACAGGCCGTTCGCAGTCCGAGCGATAAAGTATGGGTGATGAAGGTCGTTCCGCTACCGTCGGATCCGAAAGAGCGAGAAGAATGCGTCCGAGAAGGGTCGACCATGATGAAGCTCGGTCACCCCTGCATTGTTGGTTGCAAGGTACGGACCTCCTAAACTCGCCGAACTAATTCCCCCTTATTCCAGACTCGAGGCCGCTAATGTTAGAAGAATCTGAACGTCGGACCGACGTACGTAGTCAAGGAATTTCCCAGAACATCTGCTGCTATGTTTTCCTTTTACTAACGTGCTGAATTTGGTGTTAACTTTTCCGTCGCAGGAAGCGTTTATCGACCGCTCCAGCCGTGCCTTTTGCATTGGTGAGTACGACACGCGTGAAGTCGGTGCTAGTCGGCACTACCGGTGTACCGCGGTTCGTCAATTCCGTTGGCTTAGCATGTTCCTCGTCCGTTCTCATCGCGACGCCGTCAGTGTCGCAAAGGCGATAACGAAATATCCAATGTTTCCTAGTGGCGTTCGAGTCCTAAGAGTTTGTAGATTTCGCGAGGATTCTAGTAGAGGAGCTGTCCAGATTCAGTTGCTTAGGGTTTTTCGACTAAATTAGCTAGTCATGTTGTATTGGTCGGTTGAATTCGGCATTCTTCTAGGATCGCTCGTTTTCAGTGTCAATTTGTGACAACAACGAGCGGCACGCAACAGCAGCACGGAGGAGAATTTCCTCGCCATAGCAGCACCTGTGTCTGTTTCACGCTTACGATTCGCGAGTAGGGCCAAACAGCACGGATCACCACACCCTCACCGTCCGTTGCTTTGTGGATCATCCTCTCGTTATAGCAAGACTCACGACACTAGTGCCCATCCATCGTCCCTGGTCGTTGGCGCTTGGTGCTTAATGCTTAATGCTTGGTTCTGGGTGTGTGGTGCGTGCAGTGATGGAGTATTGTCGCAAGGGCGAGCTGTGTCAGCACCTCAAGAAGCGCTCCAACATGGGAATGATGTGAGTGGCTGACCTTGGCTCTAGCAGGTGGTGGAAAATACGTGATGATGATGATAGTGATGTGAGAGGCTGGTCCTTGCATTCGAGGCGGATTCGTGCATCTAGTGTAGGTGTCGGTTGACTCACGATGATAGTCATGACGATGTGTCGTTTCGTCGTAAATTCAGTTTTTTCCTTTCGTCTTCGTTCTGATTGGTCCCGGCAGGATCCCGGAGGACACGATTCTCAACTGGTTCGTGCAGCTCGTGCTCGCGTTAGAGTACCTTCACCATAAGAACATTCTCCACCGCGACGTCAAGGTACTAAACTCCTATTCGCTCGCCTCCATCTCCCCGTTCTATCGTTTTCCGTCTGCATCGCCCCTCCCCCCCACAACACCTTCTCTCCTCCCCGTCCCTCTCCCTTTTCCTCGCCCCACATCCCCTCTCCCCTCCCGCCCAACCCCATTCTCCTCTCTCGCTCGCACACGCGGCTCTGTTACCCCTCCGTCGCCGCTTATTCCAAGTCATTCATCCCGCGTCTCAACTTCCCTCCCTTACGCCTCTCCACCCCCCACCCCTCCTCCCCCTCCCCACCCCCTCTTCCCCCCACCTCCTTCCACCCCCGCTCCCTGCGCCCTCCGGTCAGGCGGAGAACGTGTTTCTTCGCAGCCGTCACGACACGCCGCTGGGTAACGCGGCGACGGTGCAGCTGGGCGATTTCGGCATTTCGCGAATGCTGGAAGCCCACGAGGCGGTCGCGCGAAGCTTCGTGGGCACGCCGCTGTACATGTCGCCTGAGCTGATCCGGAACGAACCGTACGACCATAAGTCAGGTGAGCCGTTCGATCACGAGTCAGGTGAGCCGTACGACCACGAGATTGACTCAAAAGTCGACTCGAGACTTGCCTGCTGAGTTCAACCCTGAATTCCATTCCCCCCCTCTCCCCGTCGCAGATATATGGGCGCTGGGGTGCATCCTGTACGAGATGATGTGCTTCACTAAGCCCTTCCCCGCTACAAGCATACGCGACCTCGTTCTGCGAGTGCTCAAGAGCAACTACCGCCCTCCTCCCCACATGTAGGCCTTTGGGAATCCTCCTGATTTAAAGCCTTGCTCCCTTCCCATCCTTCTGCAGTCTCGTTTCCCAATTCCTTCCGTTCCTTCCCGTTTCTTCCTTTCCTGTTCCAAATTCTCAGACCTCTCTTCTCTCTCCCCGCATTCCCCCCATCCCTCCCCCATCCCTTCCCCATCCCTCCCCAATCCCTCCCCCATCCCTCCCCCATCCTATACCCCGACCCCCCCCCCCCCGCCTCCCCCCCGCAGATACTCCCCCGAGCTCTGCTTCCTGCTCACCAAGATGCTCTCTAAAGACGCGTCGCGCCGCCCCACCGCGGCAGACATCCTCGCCTTCCCGCTGCTCCGCCCGCGCGCCGCCGCGTTCCTCGCGGCGTGCCAGCTGGCGGCGTCCGAAGCGGCGGAGACGCACGCGCAGCAGCAGCAGCTGGAGGAGCGGATGCAGCGGCAGCTGCAGCAGCCGCAGCAGCACCACCACCGGCGCTATCAGAACCGCGATAAACACCAGCAGCAGCAGCAACAGCAGCAGCAGCAGCAGCAGGAAGGTTCCCCGTCCTCCTCCCCATTCTCTTCCCCGTTTTCCTCCCCCCTTGGCTCCCCCCCGCCCTGCTCCTCCTCCGTCCCGACTTCCCCCTTGCACCAGCAGCATTCCCCCAGCGCCGCGCGCGTCCTAGCCATTCACAGCGAAGTCGTTCTGCAGGCGCACCGCTTGGGCCTGCACGCTCCGCTCGAGCCCCTGCTCTCCCCTTCCGCGCGCGCGCGCGTAGCATCTGCGGAAGGCGCGCGCGCGGAGCGCCCGCGTGCGCCGGGTTCCCCCCGGCAGATGGCAGCAGCGGGGGCGGCGGAGATGCGCGGGGAGGCGGGGGCGGGCGGAGAGGGCTCGCTGTTCCGCGACTACGAGGCGAGCTTGAAGGTCCCCCCACCGCCGGCAAGTTTAGGAAGAAAATACAGGAGGAGGTTTCAAAGCATTAATTCTACCTCTGATCAATCGATCGAAGTCCTGAGATTTTCATCGTTTTCTCCACCCGCCCTAACCTCGCCCGTTCTCTCCTCTCTTCCCCCATCGCCCTACAGAAAAGCTCCCACAGCAATCGGTCGCGAGCCACATCAACCGACGGAGTCGTCACCCAAACCAACGCCGCAGCCTCGGGCTGCCCAACCAGCCCGTTTGCCTCGGCGGCGGCTCGGCGGCGATTCTCAGCCTCGGACACAGATAACCTGGTGCAGCGCGCCAATAGCCGCGGCCGGGGGAGCATGAGCGGGCGCACGGGGGACGGCGGGGGCGTTGGGGGAAGCGGAAGAAGCGGGGGCGGCGGAAGCAGGCGGGGGTCGCGGGAGCTGTCACTGGCGGAAGAGGATTTGCGCGCGCTAGAGGAGGGGATAGAGGAGGGGGGCGGGGACTTATCGGACGTGGTTCGCGGAGGGGCGACTGGGGAAACGAGTAGTGCGGGAACTGGAGGAAATTCGTCGCAGGAGAGCATACCAATAGGTGTAGAGCATCCCTACAGCGATAGTAACGCATCCGGGCGTTATAGCGCGGATGACTTCGCGACTTATAACGGGGAAACCAGTGGCCGTTTTAGCGGGGAAAGTTCCAGGAGGTTTTCAGATTCCACTCCCCCGTTGCCCTCCGCGCCAGGGGCGCGGCTTTCCCCCTCGGCGGAGACACGCGCGCTTGTAAATAGACCACGGGGGAGGAGCATGAAGGAGCGGGAGCCCGCGCATGGGGGGACTGCTGCGGAAGCAAGCGCGGAGCCAGGCATGCGCGCGCATGGCGGGGAGTGCGCGGACATTGGGGAAGGAGCGGTGGAGGGGAGAGCGCCGGGAAGCAGCAGGGGTTGGCGGGCAAGAGAGGGACGCGCGCTGCAGAGGGGGCGCAGCGAGGGCGGGCGGATGGGGGAACACTTCCGCGTGAGGGAGGGCGCGGGCATGGGGGAAGGCAGTAGGGAGGGCGCGGGCATGTGGGCCGAGGGGGAAGCGGAAAGGGAGGCGGCGGATAGGGAGGCGGCGGAAAGGGAGGCGGCGGAGAGGGAGGGGGCGGAGAGGGAAGCGGTGGAAAGGGAGGTGGCGGAGAGGGAAGCGGCGGAGAGGGAGGGGGCGGAGCGGGAGCGGAGCGGGTGGCAGCAGGAGCGGCGGCGGCGGCGGTCCGCCCGCCGCATGCCTTCATGGGACTGCGAGCGCCTCCCCGGAGTAGCCTTCCCCCGCCCCCCCCCTTCCTTCGAATCCTCCCCCATCTCCATCAACTCCCGCACCCCCCACTCCCGCACCCCCTCCCTCACTCCCTCCCACTCCTCCTCCGTCTCCCCGTCCCGGTTCCCGTCGTCCTTCTCCCCGTCGTTCGCGCCCTCTCGCACGTCCTCTCGCACACGGTCGCACAGCAGCAGCAATGCGACAGACCAGTCGTTAGGGCAGTCGCCCCTGTGGACGCCCAGGCGAGTGGTGGAAGAGGCGAGTCGCCTGCTGGGGGGGCAGCGGGGGGAGGGGTTCGGGCTGGGCGCAGGCATGGGATCGGGCATGGGGATGGGCATGGGCGCGGGTACAGGTATGGGTTATCACGGGAAGCAGCAGCAGGGGCAGTATCAGAAGCAGCAGCAGCAGCAGCGGCGGCGGCACCAGAAGCACCAATCGGAGTCATGTATAGACCTGCAAATAGGCCCAGGGGGAACTTATTCCGATCTCTCTCCTAATAGAGACGGCAGGGGGTACAGTCCGGGGGTTCCATATGCGCGGGACAGGATGTGGTATGGCGAGGAGCGCAATATGGGGTACAGCCCGCCTGGAAGGGCCTTGAGCCCGCCAGCAGCAGCTCAACAATTCCAGCAGAAGCAGTCGTTTGAGGGGAGGTCGCGGGTTCAATCCCCGGTGCCGTCATTCCCAAGCCGGGTCAGCGAGGGGGATGAGGACAAGAGCAGCAGCAGCGGCAAAACTCGTGCCGATGCTGCTCGCACTGGCGCCGCTGGTGCCTCTTCTCCTCATGCCTCTGCCTCAGGAAATAACACCCGCATTGCCGCCGCTGCTTTTGCTGCTGCTGCTGAAACGCTTTCTGCACGGTCCACAAGCCCAACCAGCGGCCCCACAACCCCTACAATCCAATGCCCCAGTCCCACTAGCCCTACCAGCCAGTGCCCTAGCCCCACCCCCACAAGTCCCACAAGCCCCAACCCGACAAGTCCCACAAGCCCCACGAGTCCCACTGTGACCCGCTCCCTCCCCACGCGCAGCTCTGCCAGCTCCACAGACGCGGAGGCTGTGCTGTGCCGCGCCCTTGCCTCCATCCCCTCCCCCCCGGACAGCCCCTCCGCGCTCACCCTCATTCCGCCCCTCACTCCCTCCTCCTATAAACCTAACAAGGCAGGAGCAGCTGCAGCAGCTGCTGCTGCGGCTCCCTCCGCTGATATTGCTCCCGCTCCAGTCCAGCTGCTGGGCTCCTCTGCCCCGGCCCCTTCCCTTGCATTCAGAAACCCCCTGGCGGCGCTGCCTCCACTGCCCTTCCCCTTCCGCCCCTCCCCGCGCGCCCCTGCGCCCAGCCCCGCTCCCGCATTTGCCACTGCAGCTGCTCTCATAGCTGTTGCTACTGGCATGCCGGATGGTGGTCGTATGGGTATGTCAGAGAGCCGTATGGGCATGTCGGAAGGGCGGAAGGGCATTGAAGGGCGTGTGGGCATCCCAGAAGCGACGTCAGTGGAGACTATCAGCAGCACTCTCAGCTCTGACACCGCTGCTGCCATTCCCCGCATGCAGCACGTGGCCGCTCTGCACCGCATTCAACACCAGCAACTCCAGCAGCAGCAGCAGCAGCAGCATGTTGGGAATCAGAGCAGCCAGAAGCCAGCAGCAGAGTCTTCTCTCAGTGCCGCCAGTGCCTCTCCAGGGGACACCTATGGCGCTGCTGCTGCTGCTGCTGCTGCTGCTGCTGGTGGTGCAGGCAGCAGCGGCGCCAACGCCTCTGTCTCCAGCTATGGGCGCAGCAGCAGCAGCAGCAGTAGCGGCAACAACACCCGCCCCACGTCGCCCCTCCGCTTCGGCGGGAGGCTGGCTGCGAAGCTGGCTGGTTCCTTCTCCTCCCTGGTTCCCAAATCTCCCAAGTCTCCCAAGTCGCCCAAGTCTCCCAAGTTGCGAAGTCCTAGGAAGGCTGGAAGAAGATTCGGTGCAGTGTCAGCAGGCGGATCTGCAGCAGCAGCGGCGGCGGCAGCAGCAACAGCAGCAGCAGGAGGAGTAGGAGGAGCAGGAGCAGCAGGAGGGCAAGGGAGAGGTTCCTCCTTAGTGGCAGCAGTGGCGCTAGGGGGTCACAAGAGCACCCCATCCTTGACCCTATCCACAGACGAAGGTCCCACTGCTGGCTCTGGGAATTTCAGCAGCGAGGGGACTATGAGCTGGGGCTCCCTCCTCTCATCCTCCTCCCTCATTGGCCGCTCCTTCTCCCTGCTCTCCCCCCGGAAAAGCCCCAAAATGCGCCGGGGAACCTGCCTTGTACCCTCGACGTCGACGCGGGAGGGCGGGGAGGTGGAGGCGGCGGTTACTGGGGATAGTGATTTGAGTGGGATGTTGGGGGATAGTGAGGTGAGTGGGATGTGTGGTGGGGATAGTGAGGTGAGCGGGGTGTGTGGTGGGGGGATGTCGCTAGAGGCCAGTTTGAGCCATACGGGCCCGGATGTGCTGTTGGGTGTGAGGGATGCTGCTGAGGCAGCAGCGGGAGGAGGAGCAGATGCAGGAAGAACAGAAGCAGGTGTAGCCGCAGGAGCAGAAGCAGGAGCAGGGATGTGTTCAGCAGTGGAGGGAGATGCTGCTATGAAGAGGTGTTCCAATAACGGGGCTGAGGATGTGTTAGCGGGGCATGTGCGCAGCAGACTGCAGGCAGGGCAAGCAGGACAAGGAGGGCCAGCGGAGAAGGTGGGGAATAGAGAGCAAGCAGGGCAGGCGGTGCAGGCAGTGCCAGCAGTACAGGCGTGTCGGAGTGGGGAGGAGGCAAGCAATGAGGAGGAGAGTGGGAGGAATTGGACGCGGCAAGCCACTGCTGATCGCAGGCTAGCACTGCAGGGCCAGGGGAAGAGTGGGACAGCTGGGGCAGGAGGGGCAGGTGGGGCAGCTGGTGCAGGTGGGGTGGGTTGGGCAGGTATATCTGGTGGAGGTTTGACCCAGGCAGGTGCGAGCTGGACACAGTCCAACCCAGACAGGAAGCTCACCAGCTCTCTCCACAGCCCCACACATTCCCCTACCGGTAACCCCAGAGGTGGTAACCGCACTGCAGCAATGAAACGTAACAGCTCAAGCAAGTCACTGAAGGAAGAGGGTGTGTATCAGCGGGTGCTGGTTGGGTTGGAGATTTCAGAAGGGGACGAGGAGAGGGGAGGTGAGGGGGTGCCGGAGAGACCAGTGCTGGGTGTGGGGGGAATGCATGGGAGGGTATCTGTGATTGGTGGTAGCGGTCAGCAAGGGGAAGCATGTGGGAACGCATATGGTGGTGGTGATGGTGATGAGAATGGGAATGGTGACGGAGGGGGGTATGTAGAGCAGGAAAGTGATGGGGATTCAGCATCGTCGTCGTCATTCAGTCCGACAGTCCCTGCTACACTGACGTCGCCGATAGGGAGTTTGTTTCAAAGCAGGAGGAAGCATGAGCGCTTACCGAGGCGGTTACAGAGGAGGAAAACTGGCACCCCACGCTAGTGGCTGTTGACGAAAATCAAGTGTGGGTCATATGGGTTCGGCAGGTTGCATTCATTGTTTTGGTTTCATTATTTATTCGTTCATTGTTTTTGTGCAAACTCATGTGAAAGAGTGCGTTGAACTCTATGTAAGCGTATATATTTTTATTCATTTGTTAACAAGGAAACAATAAGTGGTGCAGACGCACTAGTGAAGTTAAACCCCGGAATCAATAGCTGTTGGGAACAAAAAGTACTCCCTATGTAAGGAATTCTGCCTAATTCTTTACTGAGGCACCTTATGCGCGCACAACTCAAACTTTCGGAGTTCCAGGCTTCGTCCTGTGAGGAAGAGAAGACGCAGGAGGAGACGGTAGGACAACACGCTGTGGAACAGAGGAAGGACGAAGTGCCATACGGTGAGTGCCTGGCACAGCTGGAGCACGAGGACGGACAACACGACGACCGCGGACAGGAGTGGAAGCACGAGTCTCAGGCTCACGACGCGCAGTAAGGGACGCAGTCACCTCAGTGTGAGGAGCAGGAGCAGGCAGCGGGGAGCCAGGCAGTAGCTGTGGCTGAGACTGGTGAGTCGGTGGGAACAGTAGCGGAGGAGTAGAACTGGCAACCGGGAACTCAGTAGCAGCAGGCGGGAGACTGAGAAGGTGACGAAGCGCAGACGGCTGCGGCTGAGTAGTCACACCCCCAGAACCTCTAGCCCCAGTAGGAACAGCACCCCCAGAACCAGCACCACCAGCTCCACCACCGGGACTGCCCCAACGGACAGCCCACACGCGAAGCTGTTGCGGCGAGAGCGACTCCTGCCGACTAGCACCACCAACTCCAGTACCTCCAGTAGCACCTCCAGTGTCAGCACCGCCAGTACCCCCAACTCGTGGAACAACAGCACTAGCACCTACAGGGCCAGCACCTCCAGTACCTCCAGTAGCACCTGTGCCTCCAGTACCAGTACCTCCAGCACGGCTAACTCCAGGAACACCAGCACTAGCACCTCCAGGGCCAGCACCTCCAGAGCCTGCACCTCCAGCACGTCCAGCACCACCACCAGGACTGCCCCAACGGACAGCACACTCGTGAAGCCGCTCCGGCGAGAGAGACTCCTGGCAACGTGAGCCAGGACTACCCGCAGCAGCTCCCACAGCAGCAGCACCTCCAGTACCTCCAGTAGTACCTGTGCCTCCAGCACCAGTACCTCCAGCACAGCCAGCTCCAGGAACGCCAGCACTAGCACCTCCAGGGCCAGCACCTCCAGACACTGCAGCTCCAACACGTCCAGTGCCACCACCAGGACTGCCCCAACGGACAGCACACTCGTGAAGCCGCTCCGGCGAGAGAGACTCCTGGCGACGTGATCCAGGACTACCCGCAACAGGCCCACAGCAGCAGCACCTCCAGTACCTCCCGTAGTACCTGTGCCTCCAGCACCAGTACCTCCAGCACGGCCAACTCCAGGAACACCAGCACTAGCACCTCCAGGGCCAGCACCTCCAGAACCTGTAGCTCGTGTCAAACATTGTATATGTTTGTGTTCTGTAGGCTGTAGTGGGTTTAGCCTTAGGGGGTACAACTTCTAGGGTTTCATACTTGTACTCCCAAACTCCTTAGTTCAATCACTTTCACTTCTCATTCTGACATGGTATTAAGAGCCTAGGTTAGGGACCTAGGACCGCTTACCTAAGGGCCCACCGTTCCGCTAGAGGTGTCCTCGTGCGCCCTACCGTCTTAGCGCCCTCGTGCGTCTCTCTCCTAGTGCGCCCTCGCGCGCCCTCCTCTCACGCTGCTCGTTTGCAACCCGCTAGCAGCCCGAGCGCGGCCCCGCGTTTTTAGCGCGAGTAGCCCGTTAGCCGCCTAGGGCGGCCCGATTTTTCTCGCGCGCGCCAGTAGGCCGTCGCCCGTAGGCCCCGCTCGCCCCTAGGCCGACGCTCGACCCACCGCCGCCCGCCCGCAGGTCGCAGCCCGCGCGCAGCGGCGATCGCGCGTCGGCTGCTGCAGCTCGCGCTTAGCCGCCGCACGAGCGCAGCCGCGGCCCGCGCGCAGCCGCACCCTAGGCGCCGCCGCGCACCGTGCATAAGCCCGCCGTCGCGCCGCCCTACCTGCCCGAGCCGCGCCGCCCGAGTCGCGCCGCCCGAGTCGCGCCGCTCGAGTCGCGCCGCCCTGATCGAGCCGCGCCGCCCCACCTGCAGCAACTGCTGTTCCTGTTCCTGCTACAGCTACTACTACTACTGCTCTTACTGCTACTACTGCTACTACTACTGCTAGTGCTGCTACTGCTACTGCTGCTACTGCCACTATGGCCAGTCCTACCGTTCTCACTTTTGACTCTGAGGGCCGTCCGATTAAGTTTGACGTTTGGCTCGATGACCTGCACCTGTTCCTCCAGATCACTGCCAAGGACGATGTTTCCCTGTTTGACCACACGTCCGGCGTAGCCCCCGCTCCTGCTGCTACTGCTGACAGTACAGCTCGCTCACAGTGGCAGACCCGTGATGCTCACGCTCGCCTAGCCGTTCGCAGCCACCTGCCGTTAGATGAGCGCGAGCACTTTGGCCAGCATAAGACCGCTAAGGAGCTGTACGATGCTGTAGTTGCGCGCTACTCCTCCCCTGCTACTGCTGCGATAGGCCGTCTCTCGCTGCCCTATCTTTTCCCCGATCTGTCCGCCTTTGCCACTGTAGCTGACGTCATCACTCACCTCCGTACTAGTGATCTCCGCTACCGTGCCGCGCTTCCTCCTGATTTCCTCGCCAAGAACCCTCCCCCGATGTACCTCACACTCTACCACCTAGTCACTCGCCTCCCTGACTCTCTTCGCGCTGTCAGGGACCACTTTCTCGCCCTCTCTCCCACTGACCTCACTGTCGACCTGCTCGAGAAGGAGCTCCTTGCAGTTGAGACTAGCATTGTAGCTGTAGGTGCCTCTCGTGGCGACCCTCGCACTCCCTTCTTTGAGGGATGTTCCCCCTCCCCCCTTCTCCCCTCCATTGCATCTGCTGCTGCTGTTGGAGGCGCAAGGGCGGCAAGGGCAAGGGGGGCAAGGGTGGCGGAGGTGGAGGAGGGGGCGGCGGTAGTGGAGGGGGTGGAGGGGGCGGGGGTGGTGGCGGTGGTGGGAGTGGTGCTAGTGGTGGGGGGGTCAGTGGCGGAGGCGGGGGTGGTGGCGGCGGCGGTGGTGGGGGTGGCGGGGGTGGTAGTGGTAGTGGTGGCGGCGGTGGAGCTGGTGGCGGGCGCGGTGGAGCGGCGCAGCGTGGGGGGTTCGGCGGTGGCCAGAGGCAGCAGCAGCAGCGTCCCAGCGGGACCCCGTCCTCCCAGCAGCTTCGTGATTGGTACTCTCAGCGTGGGGGGTCTGGGGGTGGAGGTACCTGACCGTACGTTATCCGCACAGGTGATCGCACTGGCCAGACCTGTGGGAGGTTCCACACGGCACAGCGCTGCTTCTTTCGTCTTGACGACGCCTGGCGCGCGCAGTTTCCTGACGCCACTGAGCTGCCCCGCTGGGCTGATCTGATGAGAAAGAACATTGATATCTTTGCTCTTGATTTTGATGCTATCCTTGGTGCCATGTATGCATTGACTGTTAGTGGAGAGGGTGACTGTTACCTGCGTGTCCCGCCCGACCCGGGCATTAGGACCAGTGAGGCTGCCGCACTAGGTGCTAGTGTGTCTGTTGCCCCAGGTGCTGGTGAGGCTGCCGCTCTAGGTGCTAGTGTGTCTGTTGCCCCAGGTGCTGGTGAGGCTGCTGCTCTAGGTGCTTGTGAGTCTGCGCCCTCTGGTACTGAGTCTACTGAGGCACTGCACACCTTCACACTGGACTCAGGTGCTTCCCACTGTTTCTTTCGTGACCGCACTGCCCTTGAGCAGCTTGCTCGGCTAGTTGCAGTCTCCCTCGCTGACCCCTCTGGGGGTCCGGTCATTGCGACCTCCTCCACTGTCCTCCCTTGTCCTGCGGTCCCGTCGGGCACACTGTCAGGTCTCTACCTCCCCTCGTTCTCTACGAACTTGGTGGCGGGTCGTGCGCTCCAGGACGGGGGTGTCGACCAGTTCACCCCTGCCTACGAGCGCGTGACACACTGCACGTGTGCTCGGACGGGTCGCCACCTGGCTACCTTCACTCGGCAGCCGGGGTCGGACCTGTACACACTGACCACTGAGTCCCCTCAGGTAGCTGCGTCTGCGTCTGCGTCAGGTCAGCTGTCGGCCCCCTGCTCGTGTCGCTCCCTGTCGCACGAGACCGTCCTCTGGCACCACCGCCTTGGTCACCCGTCAGTGCAGCGCCTTCGTGGCATGCACTCCCGGTACCTTGTCTCTGGTCTTCCCAGGGTTCTCCCACCCCTCCCACCCTCGCCTGCTCCTCCCTGTCTTCCCTGTGTCGAGGGGCGGCAGCGCGCCACTCCTCACTCCTCCTCGTTTCCCCCAACGACTGCTCCCCTGCAGACCCTACACATGGACGTGTGGGGCCCAGCCCGCGTCCGTGGACAGGGTCACGAGAGGTACTTCTTGATAGTTGTTGACGACTACTCGCGCTACACCACGGTCTTCCCCTTGCGCACCAAGGGTGAAGTCCCTGATGTTTTGATCCCTTGGATCCGCGCTGCCCGTCTCTAGCTCAGCGAGAGATTCCACTCGGACTTTCCTGTGCTGCGTCTGCACTCTGACAGAGGTGGGGAGTTTTCCTCCGACCTCTTGCGGGACTTTTGTCGTGGGGAGGGCATTGAGCAGTCGTTCACGCTTCCGGCCTCTCCACAGCAGAATGGGGTTGCTGAGCGCCGCATTGGCTTGGTCATGGAGGTCGCTCGTACCTCCTTGATCCATGCGGCTGCCCCCCACTTTCTGTGGCCGTTTGCGGTCCGATACGCTGCGCATCAGCTCAACCTCTGGCCCCGTGTCTCCGTTCCGGAGACTTCGCCGACACTGCGTTGGACGGGAGAGGTTGGCGATGCGTCGGTGTTCCGGGTCTGGGGATCTCGTGCTTTTGTCCGCGATACGTCCGCGGACAAGCTCTCCTCC